GAGCCGCCGTGACGCTCCCGTAAGCCTATAGGGTAGGGCGAGCTGCTGTAACGTCGGTGAGCAGCTGGCCGAATGTGTGACCACGTTCTGTGTCGAGGGCTTTTTATGTAAATGCGTTTACAATCTGCTGACTGCATCCAGAGAAGTCGCGCGTGGAGAGGGCTCCTCAGCTGGCGTTAGTCAAAGACACAAACCCAATAACCATTTTCACTTTTAAGTCACTTTTATTCGTAGTTCATTAATCATTCTTTAACACAAGTTACATTCTGCCTATTTACAAGTCAGTTGTTTCTTTCATTTTATGGACCAATTCTCCTGCCATTTTATTTGTCCATTATGAAATAGCAAACACCTTTGTTTCACATTTGAAGAAAAACAGATTTATAGTAAACCCCCAGAGAGCATTAAACCCATTTTCTCTTTTTTTTCACCAAAAGAAAAATGGGCTTCGTAACATGTCATCTTGAAGGACTTTTTATTGCCTGATTAAAAGCCTTCCAAAAAGTTTCTGCATGGCAGTAATTGTTAAACTTAATGTGTAAACGTAGAGAAGATTATGCATGAGAGGACTAAGTATCCTTGCATTTAGTTTTCAAAGTAGTTTTGGTTTGGTGTGTCAGCTGAAACAACTGAAGTTCATTTATTCACTTCCTCTCCTCTGAGAAATCGTGGATTCTGACCTTCAGATTTCCAAAAAATTACCTGAGCTAAATTCACTTCAATATAGTGTAGATTGTACATTATTTTTGCCTAGTCAGAAAACAGTTCTACCCCCGAAGAATTTGGCTTGCCTCAATTGATGTAACACAATACTCAGTGTCAAACTGCCGAATAAATACAGAGAAATTGAACCAATTGCCAGTATTGCAGGTACAAATTAAAGAGCGTAACAATAGTCACAAAGCTAATGTATCAGTTAAAGACTACCAGCGACAGATCTTCTTCTTTGTTGCCTGGAGACGTTCGACTGCATTTTGAATAAGTCACTTGGACACCGTTCCCCAGATCTGAGCCAACAACATGGAAGCAATTCAGGAAACTTCAGCCTCACCCACAGCGGCAGGCTTCTGTTTTTATTATTTTTTGACTCTCATTTTACAGCGTGCCACATACAGCGTGCCACATACAGCGTGCCACATACAGCGCCATTCTGGGGGATAGTCACATGCCACCTTCATGGACGCTAATCACTTCAGGGGTTCTCTTCCTGCCCTTCATCTAATCTAGCACCTTGTCGCATCCTTTTCGCAGACTTAGCTATTCACCTCTGGTAGCCAGACATGCAGTAACCTTGAATTGGGAAATCAAAGACCAATGTTTGACCATAAAGTATGAACTCTAATTTCATGGTATGTCCTGATTGAGAGCGTGTTTGGCAGAGATTGGGAGAAGATAAAGCTCATAACTGATACTTGCAGCCCAAACCATCTCTCCTGTACCACTTTGTTGGTGCTTTAAGAAGGTTCAACCATCTGCTCCATCAAGAGTCACTCTAATGTCATCTGTGCCAAAAACCTTTGAGATGTGTCAATGTCCATGCTTGACGTTTTAGCTTGCGTGCCTTATTGGAGGTCATGTATGAGCCTTTGTGGCCCTTATCATTGTCACACAGCACACTGCACCTACTACTCCTGAAGATTCTGTTCAAATTGCAGATCTGAGAAATTATGCCATTTAATGCTAAACAGTTTCTGTTTAAATCGACACAAATATTAGGCAGTTACTTTGCATCTTTTCTCTAGTCGCCTTTTCCTTCCTCTTTGGCTATTGGCCACATTTTAATAGTTTGGTGATTTCGATTGTGTTATATCCCTCTGATAGGTATTTTAGTTCCTTTTTTGGGCCATTTTAGTAGTAGTACAGGCATACCCTGGGTTATGAACTAGATTTGTTCCTAATTCTGTCTTTAAGTCAAATTTGTGGGTAAGCCGGAACAGTGTTAACAGCAGTGTGATCCGACTAAAAATGGCGGACGACATTCTCCTTCCTCTAGCCAACAAACCGATGAAGCTGTGCATGCTTTTCATTTAACTCAAATTTTTAAATGTAATTTGCTGTAATTTGTCTGTAAGTCGAATGTCTTAACCCGGGAATTGTTGTAATAATAATTCTGCACAGGGAAGAATCTACAGTCTTATACTTAACTCCAAACAGAAAGTACTCAGACTAAGTAGTGAGCATGCTCTATTTTTAAACAGTTTGTTCTTAATTGAAGGTTCATCTGGACCAAAAATATTG